GATTGATGAAGGATGAAAATAATGGAATGATAATGACTGAATTCGTCGAACTTAGAGCAAAAATGTACGCATTGAAAGTAGACGGAAAGAGAGACACAAAAAAGGCCAAAGGTGTAAAGAGTAGCGTCGTAGTGAGAACATTAACGTTTGACGATTACAAACAATGATTGAACGATGAAATCGAAAAGGTACGTCGACAGTCGTGTATACGATCAAAGCTACACGAAGTATACACTGTGTCCNAATCGAAACTTGCTCTAAGTCCATACGACGATAAGCGGTTTATGCTATCCGATTCTATCGAAGCGTTACCATGGGGACATTACAAAGTACCACAAGAAAATAGTGTATANTATAGATTATATGTATATTGTCAATTACTATGTGTAATAATAATTATGTATATATGTTGTAAGTTATATTGTAGTTTCTATAAATATAAATTCTGTATATAGTGTGTTTACAATACATTAGTTTTATCTATCCAAGAGTTGTCTAACCCTAGCCACTTCACATAAACCTTGTCACCTTTCTTGCGCAATACTTTTTCAACGAGATAAACTTCTGGATTTGCAACGCAATGCAGTTTGTATTCGTAGAATCCTCCAGCAACAGATTGTCCACGTGAATCCTCAAGCAGATACGTCACAGGATAGGTCGTTTGTGTTTTATTGATTTTAAATACTTCGATCGTCCAATTTGGTTTATATCCTTTATCGAATACTGTTTTAAATTTGCTCACGCGTACTGGATCACCTACTTTAAATCGTGCTGGCCCTGCGATCTTGACGTTGTTGTACACCGTGGTTACGAGCTTATCGGCGATTGCGGGGGGGGGGGGTAACATCGATAGGTCGCATACCGATAGTTCGATGTTTTCGTGCGTTGTACTCCATAAGAAGACGCGGTAGTATGTCGATCCATTTGTAGGTTCCGTTAAGTGTAAATTGTTTCCATATATCTCGTTCTTCAACGTACGGTTAAATCGTTCCACANTCGAAGCCTACATAACCGAATATGTGGAATAATAATTGATGCTATGCTTTTGTATCAATGTCTGTACATCTGTGTTGTAAAATTCCTTTCCACGATTAGTTTGCAAATTGTGTGGACATCTTTTGTTATCCCGAAGTATTCCTGCAAAAGCTTTGGTGACTTCGCGTCCACTCTTACTCTTAAGCGGTATGGCCCACGCGTACTTGCTCAGCACATCAATAACCGTAAGTATGTAGTGGTAGCCTCTGTTGACGCGCGAATACGGACGCATTTCTACCACATCCGCTTGCCAGAGATCATCGTATCTGCGTACAATAACGCGTCTACGGGGAAAATTTCTTCTCGCCGGAGCATGCAATTCTTCTACGAGACGTTGTTTTTTTATTGTGACATGATTCGTCACCATAGCTGTCTTACTATATGTCTACTGTGTCAGTCGTTTCATTATGATTTGATAGATATTGAAGTGTACGCTGAATTTGTTTTATAGCGTCGCGCAACGCTTGCACGTCCTGTTGCAATGCGATAATTTTTCTCTCACGTGTCTCCAGCTATTTATTCACATTACTACACACATATCTACGTATTGTTTGTTGGNGGCGTCAGTGTCGGTATCGGGTTGTGCTACATGCAGTATCTTGCGCGACCTTGCATTGTAGATGGAACCGACAAAGCAGAGAGCGTTATTACGCACGTAATTTTGCAGTATTGCCTCTCTCTCATAATACATCGACGCTCCGTGTGTTCCGAGCGATATCCCGAATTTGTTGATTGACAGGATGGCGCGCACACGACTGACTCTAACGTCGGCGCGCTATTTAATTTATAATAAGACCCGCTTCGCGTAGTTCTTCGATAATCGACAGAAATTTGTTATCGTGAGCATTATTATTGCCAGCCTGACGGGATGCGTCTAGCAATCACAGACGGTCGACGAGTTCATTGGGATCGTCCCAGTGCGCGTACTCGATTTTCCGATCGTTTAGCGTCATATTACGCGGTATACCTCTCCTTTGCTTAGTACGCACACTGGATACTAAAGGCGCAATTATGTATCTATATTTATATCCTTTGTTACTTAGTATTGCGCCGAGCTGGTTATGATGTTTTTTATGAGCATTTGTCATTTCCAATATTGTTTTGTATCGTTGTTTATCTTCTTCAGTATATAACTCACTCCTAGGACATTTCAGGAAAATCAATTCGTACAATTCTTGTGTTGCTGTGAATCGTATACCATCTACGATTATATTATCTTGTTCATCCACGTCAAAACGTTTACTACCAAGCATTATTCCATCGTTGCCGAAATACACACCATATACGTAGTCGGGCGGGTTCCGTTTGACCACAGTACGATTCGACACCGCTCGATTCGACACAGATTTATTCGACACCAAATTATTCGACACCGTACGATT